GGTGCGATGTTGGCGCAGCGCGGGCCGGTCCACCTTTGTCCTTCGGATTAATGCGGGAATTTGCAGGTTTCCAGACTAACAAATAATTAGAGTTTACGTTCTTTGAAAGCTACATTCTTTACGAGCTTTAACAAACTACATTTGCCATAAATAACACAGATTTGTTAATAAAAATTATAGTTGATTTTAGGAATAATTTAGTAATTTAATAAAACTTCAAAATCATAATGTTACACATTCCCTTTTATTATTAACACACTGACCATGCAAGAAGTGAATAAGAGTTTCCATTATGTTCCCTGAATCCACAAACAACGTCTTGCGTCACTGGCGCTGAGTGAATAATCAACATCATAAATTTCCCATAAAACTTTATTGTTCCCAACATCGGTCACGTAATTAGGCACGTGTACGGTAACAATCCATCGACAAAGAGCACAATATGGACGTATTTGTCGATAGGTTCAATTTCAAAGGTCTAGCAAGAAGCATTATTATGTTTTTCATTGTTTAATAAAATTAGGTATAATGTATATGTCACCGTAAAATTGTGAATTCCGTCAGATTACAATCTGACGTAGTTAAATTACAATCTAACCTAACCTAACCCACTGTTAGTTTACAATCTAACGCGTTATATTATAAACTGAGAGAGTTTACAATTTCACGTTGACATATACAATACAGAGGGAAATTTTGGGTAAAACCGTAAGTCCTCAGTAAGTAAATAAATTTCACAGTCCGAGGACGTGTGTAGCCCGCAGCCGCTTCACAAAGCAGTATCCCACTAGCTGCTAAGGCGGCCCGCATCGCACTGGCTAACTCATTAAAGGCGTGTTCACAACTAATTATCGTGGAACGTAGACGGTTCTATTATTGTACTCGTGAAATGTTAGGTTTATAATTGATAAAAAACGTGTTCATAGGCGGCAAACTTTCTTGAGAACTGAGGAGCCACTTAAAGCATTTAAGAGATTAGATAAATAATTTAATATTCATGATCTCGAATAAAATTGGTTGTTTACAATTCTGAACGGTTAGGGTCGTTTGAAATCGCTAGTACAAAAATAAATTCACTGTCTTCGCGCGCCGTAACTTCAACTACAGTACTACGGGACTACACTGCTACGAGCACACGTTTCTGCCTGCCTATTCTACGAGGCATCGGGAGCCAGCTCGTAGCTCGTAGCACGTGCCTTATTTGCTACGTGTTTGTAGATGCTATTTCGGATACGAATTGACTAGGTAACTACTACGAAAACGATCATGGAAATAGACTTTGTAGTTGTGTAATAGCTAATCACAAGTAAGTAAGAAAAACAAACAAATGTGCTATACCTAATACCTATACCTAATTCTTTGTAACAACATCAACGTTATCATGTCAATCTCTCTGGTTCCGGCTCTTTAGTGCCACTCATTTTGGCTGTCCTCATAATAGAGGAAATAACCGTTAACTGATGCAAAAATATTGGCCGAAACAACAAAGGAACGCGACGACTACTCCCATACGTCTTGCGGCACGCAATCTGCTACTAGTGCGAATGAAGGCCGCCGTGTAGTGTATTGCGGTACAGCCCTCCTCGTATGAAAGTCTTTACCGCTCCCTTATGTCACTGAACTAAGGTCTACTATGAAGAGGAATATTTTGTAACAAGGCAGACTGTACGAGGGGCGTCATTGTCTCCCGCACGTGTTCAGAGGGTGATATTTGATGCACACCTTTGAAGATTGAGGCACAGCTGCCGTCTAAACTACGAATTGTATGCTATGCTGGGTTAGTCGACTACAACTAACTAAGAAATAGCGAAATAGACGGAGTTAGCTAGTCCAATTTCGGCAGCAGCTTAACAACCAACAAAACTAGAAATTTCTAAAAAAACCGTTTGCTAAGTCAGCCCAATCTAAATTTATTTTCAGGGGTAAAATTCTGCGAGATAAATTGACAACAACATTACGACTAAAGGGCTATTTATGTCTGGAATGTATTTTTATAATCTTATCACGCCTAAACCTGAAAACCATTTTTTTGAGCAAGTATAATATTAGAATTTAAAAGAGTAAGAATGGGGATCTACTGAATAAGGAAGTGAATCCATCATTTCTCAAGAAAGGGTTATGAAGAAGATGTATTGTGATAAATAAAGAGCATTTTAGTGTCGTTTTGTAGCGGAGTCGGTCACCATGACTTGGATATCTAATGTAAAAAATATTATAGATAGAACAAGACAGTTTTTTAAAATATTCAAACATTCTTTTCCGGAGAGAAACAAACCAGAATAAAAATTTGTTTTTTTTTACAACTGGGAAAAGAATCTAAGACTCGGATTGAAAGGGTTTGCAAAGTTCGTGATTCAAACAATGTACAACACGGAGCTGTAAATGAATGAGTGAGTCAGCACATCGGTCAACCGTGAACGGGGTCTTTTGTAGGGTTTAGTTAACGATGAAAAGGCTTTTCTAAGTTTATTAAAGAGAATGGATACAGATCGCTGCTCCGTGCTGCACTGCAGATGCGCGGAAATAAAACCGGAGTGCAGCGAGTGATTTGTGGCCGCGCGGTGTTTGTGGAAACAAAGCTGGTGGACCCAATGCGATTGAGAGCATAAATATGCGCAAGACTATACACGTTTTAATGCACTCGTAGTTTCAGCAATACTTTCTTTTGGGCAGAGTTCTCCCGACATATTTAATTACCTATTGTAGGTAAACTTTTTTGCGGAACCTAAAACCTTTATTGGAGTAGATGTAATATTATTCAATAAGTATATGCGGAGAGGGAGCGGAGGGCCACGCTTAATTAATATTCCATGAAAAACTTTTAAGTCGAGTCAGGGAAGCATACTAATGAAAAAACTTGTCACGTGGCGCGCGCATTCCGTTAATGTGCCGCGATTAGGTACAACTCCCGCCCCCCTTCCCCCCACTACAACAAAAACGGCGAATTTGCCCTCGGACTTTTCAATGTTGTTCCGCTGTACCGTTGCCGTGATTTTAAGTAGCTTTTTCATTGTATTTCAGTTTCAAAACTGAAATAATAGAGCTCAATTGAGCCGAAGTCGACGTAGTTACTCAAAATTATAAGAACTTGGCCCACTGTTCAGATTTAAATAGAGCTGTATTGCATACTTGCGTACGTCGGCTGACACGGTAATATTATACCTATTATGGTGTTAAGCTTATCTGATAGCAGATTCAGTGAGAGAATTTTTAGCTTGTAAAAATTTTGTTTTATTTTTGCACGCATCAAAGAGTTTGACAGTGGTGACTGAATTTCTTGCTTCTTTACAGTACTGGTCTAGCTGACCCAAGTAGTGATAGGGTCAAAAATAGGTGATTAATCATACTTTTACTTACCCATTTGCGAAATGAGAACACTCCATGATGAAAACGTTATTTCCTAGATAAGAGAACCAGGAGCACAAGAAAACACCACATCCCACCCACACAGATTTATTGCCACAAATTACACAAAATATACAAATTGGTTAGCTACGAACAAACAGTACAAGAGCATTAATTTGTTAGTATCTATCTACAAAATCATCTCGATCATCATGTTAATTTATTTAATGATTATTTACTATACAATCAACTTGATTTTGTTAGCTTACTAATCTACAAATCATCACAAGCAGTGCTTATTAGTTCAGAAGTGTAAAATCACGCCTTAGCAAGGAACATGTTAAAGTAATAAAGACATTTGAAGCCTATTTCATCATACATTGCTATTTATTCATATTTATTTGATTTGAAGACATGTTATTTGAGCATTGGAATTTTACTGATCATCACATATTTTTTTATGAATGTTACAAAGCTTTATTTTAAGTACAAATGACAAAGCGTGATTTTACATATTACATGATTTTGTATTTTATTACCAATCAACGTTTTGTTAAGATCAAGACATGAAGTGATTTCATTTATTAGTAAGTACAGTCTAAATAATTAGTAGTCCCATACAAACACCACAAATTATCCCATCACCATTACTAATACCAGTGTCGCTTGAAATGAACGAACCAATTAAGAAATGAACCACAACATTTATTTCGCTTTAAGCTCTTTTCCAGGAAAAAACAGCGTGAGATTATTCAATTGGGGCGCGTAACTTCGTTATGAGTGTCGCGACAAGCTTTAGTGGAGAAAACATAGTTCCACCAGCCCGATCGCTTTAAGTACGTACGTATGGCGGCGCCGGCGGCCTCCTCTATTCGCAATTCCGAATGCAAGAACCAATATGCTAAAAGAGGCGCCAATTACCAGAACGTTGCGTACACTTAATGTAGTAGCTAGAACCGTTGACATATTCAGCTGTTCTTTGACTGAATTCACAAAGGTTACATTATTTATTTTATGTTATAGCCATAGCGGCAATCTTAATTGTTAAATATGTACTAATTAATCTACTCTATCGCATTGGGGTAACCTGTAATGTTAGAGCTAAGATTGTTATTAAATAAATAAAATAAAAAAATAAAAAAAAAAAAAAAAAAATAAAAAGTGGGTTACGTCACAGTACTTCGATTGCACGTCGTAGGTACGAACTATGCCACGCGTGACGTCAGCGCGAAGAACGCACGTTACAAACAAAAATATAGCTGTTCTACAGTAAAGATGAGAGACCTATCTCGATTGGCACAACCCTGGATGATGTTACAAAAGAATAAGGGTTTTAGGGTAGTAATCGTTTAATGGGGACATAAGTGAAGGAATTCTTATCAGAATAGATTTTATTTACCCTTGTGTCAGATAGGCACAGCCCTGAAGACCTAGAATAAGCGTTTATCACGCGCCGCGATAAGCGTTTATTACGCGATTTTACGTGATAATCCTATTTGTCGTCTAAAATCATCGATAAGATTTTATCAAAGTGCGCTTCCTAGCCCGGCTGGATAAGGCGCAGTTCATAACACAGACACTGAAATCTTGTTAGGATCATACATGTCCCTTAATTGGTTCGTTCCCTCAAGTGACCCCCCTCCCGCGAGACTCACCGCTGGCCTGGCTCTCGGCGGAGGCGCGGCGCGCGTCGGGAGCGGCGGTGACGGCGGTGGCGGCGGTGACGGCGGGCGTAGCGGCGGCACGTAGCGGCTCCCAGTCGCGCGTGAGAGCGTGCAGCGCGTCGCGCAGTTCTGGCGCGACCGACTGGCGCGCGCCCGCGCACTCGCGCTCCATGTTGTTGTAGTTCTCGATTACTTCGCGAACCTCCGACTCGCGTGCGCGGACTGACGCCTGCGCACAACATCAAAATTCTAAGTCTCAGAAGTGCTAAAACGGCACAAGTGTCATCAACACAATACAAATGGAAAATAATCGTCCTTCATTAGTAACATTCCAAAGCAAGCAATGGTCGGCCAAATGATTTCATCTGAGGCTTATCATCATTCCAGCCACAAGACGTCCACTGCTGAAGATAGATCTCCTCCAATGATTTCCAGATTAACCGGTTGGCAACGGCTTGCATCCAGCGCCTTCCTGCTGTCTTTATGAGGTCATCTTTGCGCCTAGTGCTGCGCTTTCGAGTTCGTGGCCTATACTCCAGAACCGTGCTTGCTGCCTCATCGGCCGTCACTTCTGTCCCTGCCTGGCCACTTACCACGATCTCAGCGAGGGCATCAAGTTCGGGCGGCGGCGTGGCCTGCAGACGCGCGCGCGTGTCCCGCGCCCAGGCGGCGGCGTCGTGCAGGCGCGCCGTGTACTTGGCCAGCGCGCTCAGCTTGCCGCCCACCAGCGCCGCGTGCGCTGACAGCTCGTCACGTGCCTGTGACAATGACATCACACACACGTCACTTTTATGTTATTGTTATAACAGCAGAATATTGCTGGTTATTCCCATCAAATTGATGGTAACACAAGCACAAAACAGGAACAGAATGCAAGTAGATATGAACGAAACAAAACTTTTAAGAGCATTATTTGGGTCTGGTCCTTCGAGCCAGATAAACGCCGCGTTAGGCAGGCGTGCGCCCGCAGGCCACAGCGCGCGGTCTCCGGCTCTGGTCTGCCGCGGTTACGTGCTCTCTATTAAACTCACCACTTCACTTTATACTTTTGGAAAGGTATTTTGGTAAAGAGATACGTATTTTAGATATGTTTCAACACATGCGTGATATTTTTTATAAATAACTTTTTTTTTAAATTGTCAATATAACAGTATTCAATACTATTTGTGTCAATATGTATTTTCGTAACAAATTTGTATCTTTTAGACCGATGAAATTGGTTTCTTGTCTGGCGCATATTATTATTTTTTATTTCGGGCAAATGGAATTGCACACTCAAAGGTATCGCAATGCAATAACCATCAAGACGCGAGCCTGTAGGATCGATTCAGCCTCCCTAGCGCACATTTCCCTGCGGAGACGAGACAAACAAACTTGACCACTCGAGCCGGCGGAGTGTACCTATTGTGTTAACTTTTCAGACGGCCTGTCGGCGTCAGCAGCGTTAGCAGTACACCTTTACAGCTAGTGCAGTAAAGAGGGGCAGAATTACCATTTTGTACAATCAACACCACTTCAGACAGTACAATTTTGTTTCAAAGTCGCCCCTATTACGATGGAATAAATTGCCAGTGTTTACATTGATGTGCCGAAGATCTTACATCTTATTCTCAATGTCATCGTCGTAGTACACATATAAATACTTACAGCCATGTAGGTATGCTAAGTAACATAACAAAGAAGTTTATGTTGGCTACGGTCTATACTACAAGTAGGTATGTCAATAAAAAGCCTTTTTTGACGCAATTTCAATAGTAGGATTTTCGTTTTGAGCAAAGATCAATAGATATACTTACCAGCAAAAGTATGGAATCCTTGCGTATTGTTCCGAGCCATTTTAAGAACTAAATGCCTATGTATGTATCTATGGTATCAATTAAAAGTATGTAATATTACCTTTAAAATGGTATCATTTTTATTTATCTTCTATTAGTCATTTAGTTCTTACGATCGCTCGAGAATAAATAAATACAGCGATTCCATATTTTTGCTCGCGAGTGTATTTCGATCACCACACATAAAATAAACCGCGCCTACTGTATACATCTATTGCGTGACGTAGATGAACCGCGCGCAACTATTCCAAGCTCGCATTCCTGCGGCTTCGCGGCGCTTGTGAGAACTATTCCTAGTCCTACCTACGAGCATGAAGTGAAAGCTGGCTCTAACTACAAACTAGATACTCATTAGAGCTATAGTTAATACTGCCTTTGGTGACATGGACTTTTAACAAATACTATGTTGCTGGTGAAATAAAATGTTTGCAAGTTCCATAATAATTCTTTTGCATTTAGTGTCTCTCGTATTCAAACTGTTTCTAGTATTATGTATCTTATGACTCTCAATGTGACTGCTCGGGGTCGGTAGTGGGTAGATAAGCCAGTTGTTTTTATATCAATGTATACCTTTGTTACTTTTTATCTAAATCTAAATATATAAAAGGAGAAACTGACTGACTGACTGACAGATCAACGCACAGCCTAAACGGCTAAACGTAGGCACTTGAAATTTGGAAGGGACGTAGCTTAGGTACCGTAGAGGTGCACTAAGAAAGGAATTCCCGAAATTCCCACGGGAACGGGAATTAGCGGGAAAAACGGGATTCACGCGTACGAAGTCGCGGGCGGCCGCTAGTTAGCTATAAACGTGGTGTACAACCAAACAAAATTATGTGCATCACCGAATAAAAACACAGATTTAACTCGTAAAACACAGCGCGAGCGTTCGTTGGCGCTCGTGTCGGTTGCAAATGCTCGCCGTAGCTGTTTTTCGCGCGTCGTAAAATCTGCATGCGGGTGCTTCGTCGGCGTTATTTCCCGGCCACAAATTCCAGCGGAATGGAAACCTCGCGAGTTCCCAAGGACCATTGTCATAGAATACGAAAAACGAAAAAAGTCGGTATATTGTTTCGGTTAGCCTCGGCGACCCTTTGCGTACGCCAAGAATAAAGGGCGGCGTACAATATGGAAACGTTTTTGCTAATTCTGTGAAGCGAAGAGTTTTAATGCATTCTGTTTTATACTTGTAATAAAAGCAAGAGCTGAATGATGAAAGAATTCCTAAAGAGTAATTAATCAATCAGGTTTTCGTAATGGGGCCATAATAATCAAATATTGTATCATCATTGGTAGCTGTTGTTTTTTTATAGTATGTATTTTTTACATCTCTGCCTTTGTTTATCATAATCATCATCATTTCAGCCACAGGACGTCCACTGCTGAACATAGACCTCCCCCAATGATTTCCACATCCCCTGGTTGGAAGCGGCCTTTATCCAGCGCCTTCCTGCTACCTTTACGATGTCGTCGGTTCACCTTGTGGGTGGAAGTACCATACTGCGTTTTCCGGTACGTGGTCTCCGCTCCAGAAGCTTGCTTATATTTAAAAGTTAGGCCGTATACAGAAAGAAATCTGGAAACTTATAAGCGCTTGTCAGCGCTGGTCCGTTCGTTCACAAAGGAAGCAAGTTGAATGGCATTTTATATGGCAGCGTCCAGCGCTGACCAGCGCGTTTTAAACTTGTCGGCGCCGTTCAGTGCTTATCGGCGCGCGTTGATATATTTTCCTGCGCGGGTTACCAGCGCTGTCAAGCGCCGGTAAGCGCTTATAAGTTTCCAGCTTTCTTTCTGTATACGGCCTTACTGACGGACTAGTTATATCGCGAACAAAATCCCAGCCTGGGCTCGTTAGAGTTGGAGCAAGCGGCTTACCTTCTCGAGCTGCGCGTGCAACTGCGCGAAGTGCTCGCCGCTCGGCGGGTGCTTGGCGCCGCGCAGCACCTCCATGTCGCGCAGACGCGTCGACACCTCCTCGTCGCGAGCCTGCCCAACACAAAATAACATTAGCATCCATCAAATTTCTAACCTCACCATACCATTTATATGACCATGTTAACATGGGCTAGTGTCGGCTCATATACCCATTTACCTAACACCCTGTAGATAATGTTTCAAATAATATGTTTGTCGCAGACGGTCATGAGTACGGACACTAAAGTGAAACGCAAGTGCGCCACCTAGCGGCGAATCGGCGCAACACCGCTTTGGCGCGCTTCGACAGAGTCGTAACGGTCATGATACCATCATTAGGTTTGCTTGGTGGTAGGGCTCGTTCAAAGTCCGCCTGGCTAGCTACCACCATCTTACCTAAGTCTGTCGCCATAACAATAATGTTAACAGCATTGTTGTGTGCCGGCAGTTATTGGTGAGATAGCCAGTTCCTCCGTGGTTGAGGATTCTGAGTGAAGCTCGCTCAGGTGAGATACATGCCAAGAGATTCCTCGTTGTGGATAAAAAAAAAATGCAATTTTGAACGACGCATAGATACCTACACATGCCTAACCGGTTGATATGCAGGATTAATATGGGTTGTGTGTTAACGGAACGGTAAGATGACGGATGAAATATTAATTTCTTGATTTTAACAGCTGAATGATGAGGAACGATTGGTCTATGGAATATAAGAAACAGAAGGGATGAATGAGGATTGAGGTTGAGAGTGATAGTAGTTTAAAATTTCGATGACTGTTGTAAGACGAAAGACGGACAACGATCTAGTCGTTTGTTATAGTAAAAGACGTGTAAACTGTAATATTATTTTGATAATTGACGAGAAATATAATTTATAATTCATGGATTGTCATTCAAATAAGAATAGGAATTCCCACATGTATTTTGTACGTTAACCCAAAAACTTTTTAGCATTCCCGTGATTTAACAAAAGATAGCAAACTGAATTTCATAAAAAATCCAGCGCGGCCGCTATTAGGTACTGCGACATCGGTGACGTCACGCGGGTGACAGTGCGTCACTCGACGTAATCGCTGCGGCTGATGCGACCACACTCCACTACGTGTCGCGCACGCTACTTGCGGTGACGTGACGACTCGATCGAACCTCGCGACTCGCGAGTCGCGTCTGTCACGAGTAGGTAATTGGATTGGGAACGGATGCCAACAGTCAATTATGCTTTTTTATCGCACAATTTTTAGTTCTCAGTAGATTAATGGAGTTTAATGACATTTCTGACGTAACAATAACAGCAATTTTGATCTTGAAGCTGTTGTTTACAACGTGATGCTTGGCACGTACTATTGCGAATACTTAGTCCCCGTTCAAGTTAGCCAGACGTAACTGATTAATGTTGTTCCAAAGGCACGTATAAGTCATACGAGCCAATTATGAATTTACCAATGACAATTAACGCGCAACGATGTGACATCACAGTTATCACGTCAATCACGCGCGCGGCGAGGCGTTCGACGCGTCACGTGACGTGACACGCTGTCGTTAATAAATCCTTATTGGTTTGTGCAATAAACGCCTATCGTGCGATTGTGACAAGCCACGCCGGAAATAATTGATGTACATTTTCATCTATAAATCAATAATTATATTTTGACAGTGTGTTGATTGAGGAATATTATTTATTATTATTAGATTAAATTAAATGACAGTAGGTACCTAGATTTATACCAGCAATACCAAGCAAATCGCCTACGGCTAGCGCGCCAGTAATCGTGCGAGTAATAAGACTTCAAAGACGACTTTTATTAGGCAGTAAAGTGACATGACATTAATGTTGCATTCGCCATTACAGTAACATAACGCCGAGACGAACACGATAGGAAAGTTTAATTCCGTCTATAATAGTAACGTGTCGCGTCCCACGGACGGCTTTATGTGCGGGCCGTAAACCGCGGCGTCACAACTGCCGCACTCCGGCGCACCACACCTTAACCTTAGGTCACTTAAGTTATTTTTATTTCATAAAAAGCGCTAAGCTTAACGGTAGGGACCAAAACTATTGGCGTAGTAATAGGCCAGAGTTGATAATTGACACTTACCATCTCGCAGAATGTTAGTTATGATATTTTATCATGGTATCTACGTTGCGTCTGCCAAAAATAGCTGTTCTGCTTCACAACTGAGAATAGCTACCTGAGGTTTGGACGTTATTTAGCTAGTTTTGCTGTGTTCCATGCACCTCAATGTGCACTAATATGCAGTGAACTAGCGCGTAAGTACTCCGCATTGAGTGTTGTTTGTGGGATTAGAGCCGCGTGGTTGGGAGGCAGCCGGCAGCTAGCGCGAGCTAAACAGTTTATGAGGCGGCCATCAATCGACGGCTCCCGCCACGGTTCACCTTGCATCGCCGTTGGTGCGCCAAAGCACAGTTCTAATTCACTTTAGGAAATAATTAGAGCAAGTATTTAAATAACACAATGAGAAGAGGCTTAACTACTTATCTTTTGAACAAAAATGGAAATTCCTTTGAGAATAAAATAATAAATTACAAGGTTTTTATGGAGATTCAGATAAAATTGGTACCGATTAACCTTTTGACATGGCAAGCACAAGTTAATTAGTAGGTAAGAGTGCACAATTTGCCACGGCCGTCATCGGCAGCAGGCCCGCCGCAGACGGCATAAATCCTGCCTGTCGCCGGGACGCCGCGCGCCGGGGTGGGCTCACGGGCATATTCATGATTGTACGGCCGACAGCACATCAAACTTAACACTATAAGAGGCCATTATTAGCAGTATAATATAATATATTTTCTGAAGTGTTGTTTACTGTACTTAAGAGATAAATGCACTGTCTAAAATGTGATAAAACAAACCAAACGCAAATCACACATTTCAAAATGCTATGAATCTCAAAATAATAGGAGTCAAAGCAGTTTTTGTTTAGGGGTAAAATTACGTGATGATTTTATATACATAGTTTATTATGACACACACGACTAACTTTTTTAAAATGACGAATTTCCGACACAACTCGCGTTAATAACACTTCAAAGCGAAACATTTATTCATATCACATACGAAAATGAAATCCACCTTGGACAGCTTCTGAATAATATTAATACCGGCCGATGTAAACACTATAAATAAAGTTTATTCGCACCGATCGCGTACACAGATCGAAGACGACTCCGCTGAAGCAACAAACACTCACGGAAATGCCGGCAGGGAAACTAACGCACTACATTCACGAAAGTACTATTTCATTCCTACTCTATAAATTGGGAAGGACCAACGACTGGGCCGAAACAGAGTCTATTTCCTACGTGGTAAGCTTCAAATAAGATTGGGGGGAGATCGGCGCGTGCGCCTATTCGCGCGCCGCGTACAAACAAATGATGGGACACGGAGTATTTTCATAGATTCAGAAATAGACGCGAAGCCGACGCTCGCATAGACATCGCCCCAATCGCCGGGCATTCCTCAGCCTTATACGGCACTCGATAACACTTCCGAGTTCTTGGCAAAAATGTCTACGACATTAAAGCCATGAAAAAAGTTGTATCATAATTAAACCTAATTGTATTTCCGAGATATCGAACAATTTCTATATTTTCTTTGATTAAATTTCTTAATTAATAATTTCTTACTTCCCCAGTTCATCGAGACAAATATTACTGAGTACATAAGCGAACACTTCGGTTTGCTGAGCACAACATTGTGTTTAGCAATTTATTGCTATCTGCAGAAATTAATTATTCGGCTGTTTATAGTTTCCAACTATCCTAAATAGGGATGCCAGGACGCGAACACACGTGCTGCAACATTATCAAGCAACTTTGGGTTTCAATACGTTGCTATAGAGGCGGGCTCGCCGATAAAGGTGAGCCTATACTAATTACTCCTGTACCACGAGGGAGTTGTATCCGCACCGCCCCACACTGGATCGAGCCTATACAAAGCGTTGGACATCGCTTCCTTACTCAGTGTTTTTAAAATAAAATGAGATTGCGTCAACGTAGTAACTTCAAATTTGTACAGTGTAAGGTTGATAAGTTTATCTTTCTAATGTGATAGGTTTTACTTATTAGATGGCAATTAATATAAGTGAAAAAAATTCTTAAAATATAGTGATGAAAAACTTGTATTTATTGTTCAACTAGCGGCCGCCCGCGACTTCGTACGCGTGAATCCCGTTGTACCTCCTTCATCTATCTTACGCGGTTTAGATTTTTTTCATACAAATGTTTTTTTCCGCTAACTCCCGTTCCCGTGGGAATTTTGCAATATCCTGTTGTAACTAAGCTTCAAGTTTACTAAGGTACCTGCATGCCAAATTTCAAGTGTCTAACTTAAGCGGTTTAGATTTTTCATACAAATGTTTTTTCCCGCTAACTCCCGTTCCCGTGGGAATTTTGCAATATCCTGTTGTAACTAAGCTTTAAGTTTATTAAGGTACCTGCATGCCGAATTTCAAGCGTCTAACTTAAGCGGTTCAGATTTTTCATACAAAACGATTTTCCCGCTAATTCCCATTCCCGTGGGAATTCCTAAGTATCCTATAACCTGCCCAGGAGTATGAAGAATAATTGTGCCAAGTTTCGTTAAAATCCGTAGAGTAGTTTTTGTTTCTATAAGGAACATACAGACAGACAGACAGACAGACAGACAGACAGACAAACTCATAAACCAAAATAAACATCTTTGGTTTACCTGACATTATTTTAGTGTAACGAATTTTACCTAAGTTAATTTTGCTATGCGGAAAAATGAGGCGCTTTTATTTAGTTTTTTGTGATTTTCTCGAAAATATGGATGAACAAGGGTCCAAAAACTGAGTAATAATATCGCCCACATTGTCATCTATCATCTCTCATTCATGGTTTGTTAAAGATCGCCCAAGATGTCAACTAAAACACGCAGTTTTCATTTAAAAAAATACCTTTTAAAATTACGTCAAAATAGCCAAGCTAGAAGTTTTTTAGGCACTCATTTTAACACACAGATTAAGATAAAGGTATAAACTAATACATTATTAAGTACTAACATAAAACCAGTGAACGAAATTGGATATATTGACAATACAAACAGAAGTCAGAAAATCCATGATTTTGACTTTGTTCACTTTACGGTCGCACCACATAGCTATGATAGTAGATCATGACTTGATATTAATTATATTTGATAGAATGAAGTCTCATCTTTCAACTTATATGCAAATCAATCTTGTTTTAAGTAGTTGCATTTAAAGCACCATGTCCAACACCTTGTATGGGCTCGATCCACCGTGCGCCCGTTGTGTACGGAACCTTACCTACATTAATCTTATACGAAGTGTAATAAGCACTATCTATTTAGTTAACTAATATAAAGTGTAAATTGTGTAGAATTCTATGTGCTTTACATATTAAATTGAAACTCTATTGGAAGTATTGATACAAATATTTCCAAGACACTCACATGAGTCTCTAGGGCTGCGTCTCTAAAAGCGTGTTAAACATCAAACCTGCTGTCAAACCGCTCTGTGGCCGATGACAGCTGCAATTATCGAACATTTACTCGACGCTTCCTGACGGTGAAATATACTCGAGCGCGAGCGCGTCTTAATTAAGAATCCCAAATGAGAAAACTCATTTATACGCGTTGGCAGAAAGGCTCAGGTCTAATATAACTGTCTGGAGATTTAGCAGATTCATTGTACGTATGTTAAGAAAGTTTATTATCTGGAGTTATTAACATAACACGTTAAATCAAAGCATGTACAAGGACACGCCTAGTGCATGATTGCGGGAATCCCCGCGCTGCACCGACATTCATCACTGGCGTCCCGCGGGTACCGCGGACAATCACGTCATGTCGCACGTCATATGACGTCACTGGCATTAGTTATTCATGCACGAAAGCGGCAATATACATTGCCTTAATATTTCATTGCGGCCTTCCTTCGGGATTCCATCACTTTTGGTTTGTAGACAGAATTGCATTGAAATAACAGACTGAATACGAGAATACGGGACTTTTCCCAACTCTTGTTCCCACCGCTGCAACTCCTGTAAAGCCAGGATCTGCAGCTTGACCGTCAATAAAAACCCAACCAGTGAAGGTCAAGTTTGTCCCGGGGAAAGTTAAATTGTCATTGGACCCGCAACGAAAGTAATCAAAAGAACAGGAAGAGTTCCAAGTTAAAAACTGAATACTAGACTGGTAGTTTTAAGGACTGAAGCAGCTGTCACTTGTTGAAGTCTTGGCGTCGGCAACTGACTACTAGTACTAGCGTCTGGCCTCGGTATTGGATCACGTAATTAGGACAGATAACAGAGGTTCTGCCCAACCGCCCACAGCACGGCATCGCCCGTCCCAGCGGGCGTGCGTAACATTCGTGAGTATCGCAACAAGCAACAACAGAGCGAAGCACGGTGACGTCGTTAGCGCGCTCCCGGCGGACGGCGCATCATCATACATCAACTGAAGGGCTGTGTCTGTGGCGTGCCCGAGGGAGAGACAACAACAGGGAATCAACTCCACGATACAGTTAACAAGGTGAACACCAAATAACACGATCCAGAAGATGATAGATTGTGTATGACAGATTATTATCAGTCAGTTAACACAAAATCAAAATGAAGTATGTAAATTGCTTACTTTACAAATAGCATCCAATTCCCGTAAACCGGTCACGCGCACGTATCGTTCTGCTGACTTAGGGTTTTAGCAAACTACGAACATTGTAATCATGTGAATTTTAAAACATTCAATATAGAGACACCGTACATCAAACATGTGTTTCACTTAATTTCTACTGCCGTCTTCTACACCCTAAACCTAACACTACATGGCGACCCCGCCACACCTGGCCAACTTTACATTTGCTGGAGAAGAAAAGAAAAACAGAAACTAAATTTTAAATGAAGAATTAAGCCGAATAATTATCAAGAATCAACATCAACAACAACATGGGAAAATCATACTCAAAAGAAGAAGTCGTCGTCGCACAAAACGCCAACGGAGCAGCTTCGGCCGACACGAAATTGAATCAAGGACAAAGCGACCACGTCACTCAAACCCTCCTCATCGTGGCTCTCGTCCTAATTATCGCCGCAATCGCCGTCTACATCTTCAAAAAGTGCCGCAAGAGCGCCGTGAAGACTTTGAGGAAAGAATTAAACGCCATCTCCATTGAAAACCTCGCGTCACGCAACTAAGTACCTAAGAAGAAAGAAGAGTGGAGTCCAGGGAAAGCCCGGCCCACATTCAAGAGGTGTCCAGGGAATGCCCGGCCCACTTCAAGAGGAGTCCAGGGATATCCCGGCCCACATCAAGCAGATGACCAGTTCCTGCTGCCGCCGCGCGCCGTGCCCAGCCCCGGCCTCGCCGCGCCGAACATGAGCGACGCCCACACTACGTCCTGCACTGCATCCTTTTAACTACGCCCTTAGTACAAGTAACTTGCAAGCAATTAATAAGTGCATAGACGATATACATAATATTTATAAAAACATTTTAAGTTTGTGTTGTGTTTCCGAAGACTTAGAGTTCGAGGATAGCTTGGAAACCATGGGTTCCGACAATTTTGACTTGAAAACGGCCTTAGCGCTGTTACCTATAATGACTACTCAGGAAAATATTACTTTGCAATTGATAGATAGCATCCAACTTTATAGTGGCATGCTTAACGACGAAGGCAGGAAACAATTGATAGATTTTGTTTTGAAAACTAGGCTTTCTAGTAGTGCTAAGTTACGACTAAAATCAAGTTACACATCTATTCATGATTTGATTAAAGATATGCGTATGCATTTACTACAGAAAAAATCTGCGATCGCAATTCAATCGCAACTTCATTGCGCTAGCCAAGGTCGCAGGTCGATTGACAAGTTTGGGTCCGAATTAGAACAGTTATTCGTTAACCTAACGATAGCACAGGCTGACGGAGACGACAAAAAATTCGACGTCCTTCGTCCTTTAAACGAAAAAATCGCAATTAAACGTTTTGCAGATGGACTGTCCGATTCACGTTTAAGTACCATCATCGCCTCACGACAGTTCCATTCTCTTCCAGAGGCAATCCAAACCGCCCTCGACGAAAGTAGTTTATCTGTCGGTCAAGAGCAAGTCATGAACTTCAATAAATCGTATCGTGGGAATAGAAATGCCAGATTCGGTGGTAGACGCGGTAATACCACGAATAGGTATAATTCGGGCAATAATAATAACCATAATACACAAAACGGTTATTATAACCAGAATAATAGGACTTTTTATAGAGGTCGTTCGACACGGGGAAATGGTCGCGGAAGGTACCAACGAGGTACCCCGCGTGGGCAGTATGCCTCACCCCGGTCAAACGTGAACGAAGCCCGCGTTGCCCAGGTGCAGCCTGAACAAAATGAGAGCGAACAACGCACTCAATCTGCACCGAATAGTGAGTTTTTTCGCCCCTTCAATTAGCGAACATTTCATTTTAAACTATAACATAGATAGTACGGTTCAATTAGAGTTAGGTACGCATGAAAATATAAGCTTATTAGTAGATAGCGGTGCAAGTATTTGTGTCATGAAATATGAGTGGCTACTACGTCACCCACAGTATATGAATGCATTGAATTACGATAAATTAACTATCAAAGGTGTTAGCGGTAGGTTAATTTCTGAAGGTTACATATACTTAGATTTATCATGTAAGGGCGTTAGTTTAAAAGAAAAGTTTTATGTTTTTAAGAATTTATCTTGTCTTGCAGACGGTATTTTAGGTGAAAATTTTTTTAGGCGTTATAATGCCATTATCGATTATGGAACAAATACACTAAGGTTATCCAATCAAGGATCTTTAGTTTGTATAAGCATAGGTAGAAATCGCGACAGGTATGTACATACGATACCCGCGCGTTGTGAAGTGATAAAACACATTCCTTGCATTTTAACTGAGGACAGTGTAGTTTTAGCGGAAGAAATAAAGAAAGGAGTTTTTATAGCCGGAATGATTTCAAAGCCCTCAAATAATAGTATCCCATTACGAATTTTAAATACAACTAATGAGGATATTGAGGTTGATTTTTCGAATATTAATATACAATCTATTAATAGTTTTGAAGTAGCACATCTCGGAAAAAGTCATAATTCTGTAGAGCGAGTTAAAACTTTATTTGATTTACTCGATCTGAATTACTTAAATAAAGAGGAAAGACTCAGTATCGAACAAATTTGTGCCAAATACGCCGACGTATTTCACTTACCAGGCGATTCTTTATCAGTAACTAATTTGATGGAGCACAACATCGTTTTAAAAGATAATGTGACCCCTGTCTATATGAAACCTTATAGGGTCCCTCAAGCTTTAAAAAGCGAGATAGATAGGCAAGTACAGGAAATGCTCGACAATGACATTATAGAGGAGACAGTTTCGGAATGGTCTAGTCCAGTTTTATTAGTACCAAAAAAGGCAGACAAATCAAATCAAAAGAAATGGAGGTTAGTAGTTGACTACAGACAGTTAAATAACAGAATACAAGATGATAAATTCCCGTTGCCCAATATTACCGAAATCTTAGATTCTTTATCAGGAAGTATATACTTTTCAAAATTAGACCTTTCACAGTCATATTATCAGTTATCTTTAAGTCCAAACTCACGTAAATATACCTCATTTAGTTTAAATAAAATGTACCAACTTTCTCTCGATAGTGAATCTCGAAAATATACCACATTCACAGCTGGAAAACAGTACCAAATGAAGCGCTGTCCAATGGGACTTAAAACAAGCGCAAGTGTTTTTTCTAGACTAATGACGATAGCTATGGCCGGTCTTAATTACCAAAAATGTTTCATTTATCTCGATGATTGCGTTGTAATAGGAAATTGTATCGAAAACCACAACAAAAATCTCATTGATGTTCTAAATCGATTCAGAAAAGTAAATTTAAAATTAAATCCCATCAAATGTGAATTTCTGCGAAAAGAAATAGTATACCTGGGACACAAGATAACTCAGGAAGGTATTTTCCCAGACCCAGGCAAAATTGACACCATACAGACTTACCCACGGCCAAGTTGCGCTGACGAAGTAAAACGCTTTGTTGCATTTGCCAACTACTACCGACGATTCATATCAGGTTTCGCTGATATCGTGTATCCACTTAACCGATTGTGTAAAAAAGGTATAAGTTTTGAATGGACAAATTATTGCGAAATTTCATTTAATAAATTAAAATCCGCACTTATGAACCCTCCCGTATTAGACTATCCAGATTTTTCGGAAAATAATATCTTCAAATTACAGACGGATGCATCCAAATTAGGTCTTGGAGCAGTATTATCAAATGGAAATGGAAAAGTAATCGCATATGCTAGTCGAAGCTTAAAGCCAGCCGAGACTAGATATCCAGTGATAGAATTAGAGCTATTAGCCATAGTTTGGGCTGTTCGTCATTTTCGTCCTTACTTATACGGCCGAAAGTTTAAAATCTTTTCTGACCATAGACCTCTCGTTTATTTATTCGGATTGAAAGACCCATCCAGTCGTTTAACTAAATTCCGTTTATATTTAGAGGAATACGACTTTGTTGTTGAGTACGTCCCTGGTCGAAATAATGCAGCTGCAGATGCGTTAAGTCGACTTCAGGTGACCTCACAAGACTTAAAAGATATGCACGAACAAGTAGTATCGGTTTTGACTAGAGCTCAAAGCAAACGTAAAATGACTCAAGTAGGAGACCAACAGACTGACAACCTTCCTCCAGCTTGCGGGCCTGATCAACCTGCGGCTGTGGAAGTACTTAAAAAACCAAACGATGTAGTCGAGTTGCGTTTTTCCGACAGTCAAAAATTTGCAAATAACTTACAAATATTAAAAACAAAATATTGCACGTACGTCCCATCGCAATCCGCGATATTTCTTTATTCTCGATCGTTATCATCCCCAGAGGAGTTAGCGAGAGATTTAGAAAAAATGTGCTTAAAATTAAATATTAAAGAATTGCTCATAACTAAAAATAAGAGTAATTGTAAATACATTACATATTTGCTGCGCAGCATAAATAAATGTAAAATAACGTCACCAAGATTTTTAATTATCAAAGACTTAAAAAGAATAAATGATAAAGATGAAATTATTACGATTTTAAATGACTTTCACCTCTTGCCCACAAGTGGACATGCAGGAATAAATAGGATGATAAATAATATCAAAAAATATTACTTCTGGCCAGGAATGTCCAATGACGTCATGAAGTATGTAAAGCGATGTAAAAGTTGTCAAATACAAAAGTCTTCGAATAGACATTTTAAAGAGCCTTTGACGATAACGTCAACTGCTAACTCAGCGTTCGAACGTGTTAGTTTAGATATAATGGGCCCACTAGATATAGATAATTATAATAACAAATATATTTTAACTATTCAATGCGATTTAAGCAAATTCGTTGAGGCTTATCCTCTGCCAAGGAAAGATAGTGAAACAGTAGCTAGGAGTTTTGTAAACAACTTTATATTACGCTATGGAGTACCGAAACAGTTTATTAGTGATAAGGGAACTGAGTTTACATCTTCCGTTATGTCTGAAGTTTGCAAATTACTAAATATAGAAAAAATCCATTCAACCCCGTATCATCATGAGACTATAGGTGGTTTAGAAAACACACACAAGCATCTCGGTGCGTATCTCAGAATTCAATGCGAAAATAATAAGTCTGATTGGAGTGATTGGATTCCATTTTGGTGTTTTTCTTTTAACACTAGTGTACATTCACAAACAAAATATACTCCATATGAACTTGTTTTTGGCAAAGTTTGTAATTTACCAAGTAACTTATCAGAGCATGTAGATCCATTATACAATTTTGATGACTATCCCAAGGAACTTAAATATCGTTTACAAAAAGCTCAACAAGATGCTAGGCAAAATTTGTTACATTGTAAAGATATTAGAAAAGTTAAATATGATCAAAACAGTTGTAATTTTAAATATAAACCAGGAGACTTATTATTAGTAAAAAATCAAGTAGGCAATAAATTAGATTGTGTTTATAAAGGTCCTTATAAAGTAATACAAGACATTTCGCCAAATGTAAAAATACTTAAAGATAATAAGGAAATTGTTATTCATAAGAATAATACTAAGTTGTTTAATAACTAAAAAAAAAGTTTGTTTTATTATTATGATGTGTTATGTGTTATGTATTGTGATTATAACATTGTCATGTATAATTTTAATAAATAGTTATTGTACTTACTTATTAATAGACTACTTATGTATGTAAAGCTCAATGATACGTGGCCAAACTTTTTTTTTCTTGCAAAGGGGAGGCACCTACCCTTTACTTTTCGGGGGAGGTGAAGTATGTAAATTGCTTACTTTACAAATAGCATCCAATTCCCGTAAACCGGTCACGCGCACGTATCGTTCTGCTGACTTAGGGTTTTAGCAAACTACGAACATTGTAATCATGTGAATTTTAAAACATTCAATATAGAGACACCGTACATCAAACATGTGTTTCACTTAATTTCTACTGCCGTCTTCTACACCCTAAACCTAACACTACAAAAATAAGAGGACAAATTTTTAGGTAATCTACTACTTCAGTCAATAAGTAGATCAAAAATGAAATCTAAAAGTACTGAAAAGCGAACTAAAAACGAGATGCACATGAACTTAGCTGAAAAATGTTGTGAGCGAAGAATATTTTGGTCCTAATTTTTAGTTTGGTCATTTAGCACCAAATAAATGTCTTGTTCTTTTTTTCACACCGACAAGCAGAAGTTGTCAAGATTGCCACACGTGTTGAAGTTGAGGAATCGTCGCGCTCTCACAGTAACGAGGCCCCGGCACTCCTGCCGCGGTGACTTCGTGTCTAATCACACGCACCCTCCGCGAGGTGACGACATAATGTGTGAGAGCCAAGAAAATATATCTGGGTGTTAGAGTAGAGACGCTAAAGAATTGAGAAAATGTAAAAAATCAAGATAAAATACAGTACCACGGCGTTGCATTAGTTCTGATCTAAAAATGCAACGCCAAATAAACATTTTATCAGTGTATTCAACTACTTATTGGAACTCTAAAATCATTTCTACGTTAATAATCCAACATTTGAATGAAAATCAAATAACACCGTTCGTAGCAAACTAAACGCAAATCATCACCAAATTGCAATTGAATTGCAGACTAATAGCCCATACATCGATTAAGCGAGCGCACGAACCTGTATTAAAGGGGTCCACTCGGAAACACAATATCGGCTTTGTCTTTCTCTTCCGCTAGTGTTAATTCACGAGTGAGTGAAAGAGATGTCTGCTATGAATGTTAATATAACGTGTAGTTATAGGACATGACGAGTTATCAGGGTGGGCGCTCAGATTATGGCGTATTTGCGTGAAGCTCGCCCGGTAATAGCCGCGGGCCCGGCGACGGCGGGGTTGATACTGTCAGCGCGACCCTCCCCGACAGATGGATGCAGATCAATGTCAACATAGACGGATGAAGTCACTTTAGCTTTAGCTATCGGATTTTAAGAAAAACAAATAGACATCAAGGAATCATCAAGGAATGATTCGTGTATTTTCTTATATTGTCTTGAGTTTACCCATCTATTTTTCTTAATATTGAATTCTTAACGACTTTGTCCCACCAGTATTAAAATTTAGAAGCTGCCTTTAGTACCAGAGCCATTTCGCATTTCTAAGTGTGCAAACCAATCACTAAACCACGAACTCGGGCCTACATCACGGCGTGCACAGCTGCGCTTAGCGAAACAAAACAGCACTTTCAATTTGCACTACCGATACGGTCTTGTGTTGTTGCCAAAAAACTTAAACTTCATTTAGGCAAATAAAAAGACGGAAAAAAGATAATATAGTTTCGGAGCTTCGTTTTAAGCTCGAAAAAGACATAAAAGATAAGTGCACAACATGGTTATCTGTCCATCACTGAAACTGCCTGGGGCTATTATCGCCCACGTTTGGGCCAGGCGGTGGGCAGCGCCGTCGGAAGTGGCGTAATTTCCCGCCGTCACCGGGAGCGAGACGGCCAAATAAAAGCGCTTTGAATAAGCGGAAGGAAGGCATCGACTGACAGTAAGCTGTTTCAACCTTTGTTCAAGTTCGAACTGGTAGGTACTCTTTAAACGCAGCCAATCTAACTTCGAACTGAAATGAATTCACTAAAAGATAATAAACTCAAGAAATCCATTAAAATCTAGACCAATCTATCTATATTATAAAATAAAGTCGTGTTAGTTACTCCACTTATAACTCAAGAACGGCTGAACCGATTTAGCTGAAAATTGTCAGGGAGGTAGTTTAGAGCCAGGAGAAGGACATAGGATACTTTTTATCCCGTTATTTATTGCCATTAAGGCGGAACAAAGTTCGCCGGGTCAGCTAGTTATAAATAATAATAACGTAAACAATAGTTACTCCATTACCCAAAACCCAAACTAGACAAATAGTTTGCCTCCTGTCTAAAAAAAATCTAACTCTTAAAAAATTAGGACATATTGTAGTACAACAACAATACCACTGGCTATTAATTCAAGTAATTATTACAGGAAGAATTTTTCAATACAGCCGGTTTGTGCTTATCGACAAGTGTTTTTGTTTGAATTAAAAGTAAAAACACCGACTACATTGGCACCGGCGACAGACACGCCCGTTCATTCACCAGCACTGCGCCCGTAATCCGCGATCATGCTAATTGCGCCCGCGACTCGCACGCAGCAAATCACATATTGAAAAATAAATGCAGAATTTACACAACTACACGAAAAATTTTATGGAAATAAAGATTTTACAATAAACATACCTGTCCACTTTAATCTTAAAGGCGAAAACAGCAAGATAACACAGACTGAAGGTTTTTGAGTGGACACGAAAAATGAATATCGGAAATGGATCATTATTTGGTAAAACATAAACTGTTATCAAATGAGAGAAAATAACAAAAAATGGCTTATACAAATCAAGCAAAGTCACCCACAATATGAATACACTGACTGTTATTTTGTTTGTTTTGTACCATGCACCCTTCTCTTGTGAAAGCATTTCCTCGCCGAGCCCGGGCCGTGTCCAGTGTGTTTTATACAAAGCGCCGCGGATTACTTGGGGAGCTTTTGATTAAATCAAAACATGAAAAACTCGACGGACTTTATCCATTGCTTTTCAAGCTTTTCGATATACCTTTAGTTAGAATTATTCGACAAAGATGATAGGCGAGAACGAAATTTTTTTTTTCAATATCACCGTCTAATCGTCACCCAAATAATTAAAACTGAAAATGGTAAATCAAAAGTTATAAAAACTTGAATACAAATGATAGCTAAAAAGACATTAACTTGAATAACGGGAATTTCCCATCCAATCTTTCAAATCCAATATTTTTATTGCATGTCATAATCATTCCAAAAAGCGCGACGACAAATCAGAGGTGAAATGTGTAGTTAACGGTTAGCCCGGCCGGCGGCCCGGCAAATGACTCGGAAGCGGGCACAAAGCGCCTCTCTGTCAAACGGAGAAACTGCAATTACGCTGCGTCAACCCTCGCACCCTACTCTACACACCGATTCGGAATATTCGACTCTGTCCAGCTCTGTTACTCTAATGACATCAGCGAGAGTGTGAGAGACAAATAGATCGGATAATCAAAACCGTTTTTCACAGTAGGTCCCGCTGCACAAACGCACAGCTGCGACAGATTACCGAACGCACGATATAAATGTAAACCCTAATACTTTTAGCGGAAGAGTGATTTCTGATCCACAATTTGGAATGGATCCACGTGGTTCATGCGGATAGCTGCAACGGGCGTTCGTTATACAATGCACCGTAAATTCAACCGCACACTACAAGTGATAGGATTTTAAATCGAATAACACGAGAGGTTGGCTCGGCGCCAGGCGCTTCGCAAGTGACACCGCGCTCTGTTTTGTTTTCTATTACGCCGCCAGTCCTTTTTCGTGGCATATCTCCGCATTCCTTTTTTAACAAAATTAAATTCTTCCATAAGAGGAATTTGGACGATTTTGGGTAATAATTGACTTTTGTGCTTCGTCGGAGGGAACGTGAGCACAAGTACAGACTCCCTAGGACAGGGGAACAAATTATTAAGAGTTCATATATTTCATATAATTTGTGTTTATAATATGTAAATAGCCTAAACCTTACATTTAAATTACTGCTGTGGCAACATCACATGATAGTGTTCGGCCATGAAAGCCCGGTCTAAATCGAACAGAAAACACCACCGTACCCAGAGTATTTGTTTTGGGAAACAGATTCATGTGACGACAGCACATTATCTTACACTCTGGCATCTTACGTTGTTATAATAGATGCTATTTTGTAATAACAGTTATACTAATAACAACAACAATAATTATAGGTATATCGCTTAAATGAGTCAGCGGCTGAGGTATGGAAGCGGCACGAGAGGGGTGACGTTGACATATGACGTCACAGAGCATACAAATCTAAAGGAGATCTGAAATTCGACCGTCGCTGACGTTTGACGTTGCCCGCTCCCATATCTCTGATACTGATCGAGTTATGGTCTGTACTGCGTGTCAAAATATTTTCTCGTAAGCATTGCAGCGCCGCCATAATGTGACATACTCCATACAAAATGACTGAAAGATTACGTTGACGCTTTAGGGTAAGAACTCACGGCACGGAGCGATTTTCGCCTGCGCCCGCGGTGGTTGTGCAATTGCGGTTTTATTTCAAAACTCACGGGAGCGGTTATTTGCGCGGTTATTCTACGAACTCACGCGCTAAGTCACGCGTGCTAAGTCACTGGTACAAAATGGTCGCCCGCCGATCGGGCGGTTTTCGCGCGAGCAAAAACCGCGTCGTGAGTTGTGCATTAGTTTTTACATAAGTATCTGCATTCTACAGAAGCTGCGGGCCCGCAACCGCCGCGGGCGCGGGTGAAAATCGCGCCATGAGTTCTTAGCCTTTCAAATGCGGTCCGACCTTTAAGCATCAGAAGTGCATGGCAAGCTTGCCAAGGTGAGCTCACCTTGACGAGGCTGAGGCGGATGGCGAGGCTGGTGTGGTCGGAGGGGTTGGGGCTGGTGTGCAGCAGCAGGTCCCGCACCAGCTGCAGCTGTGCGCGCGCTCACCTTGACGAGGCTGAGGCGGATGGCGAGGCTGGTGTGGTCGGAGGGGTTGGGGCTGGTGTGCAGCAGCAGGTCCCGCACCAGCTGCAGCTGTGCGCGCGCTCACCTTGACGAGGCTGAGGCGGATGGCGAGGCTGGTGTGGTCGGAGGGGTTGGGGCTGGTGTGCAGCAGCAGGTCCCGCACCAGCTGCAGCTGTGCGCGCGCTCACCTTGACGAGGCTGAGGCGGATGGCGAGGCTGGTGTGGTCGGAGGGGTTGGGGCTGGTGTGCAGCAGCAGGTCCCGCACCAGCTGCAGCTGTGCGCGCGCTCACCTTGACGAGGCTGAGGCGGATGGCGAGGCTGGTGTGGTCGGAGGGGTTGGGGCTGGTGTGCAGCAGCAGGTCCCGCACCAGCTGCAGCTGTGCGCGCGCTCACCTTGACGAGGCTGAGGCGGATGGCGAGGCTGGTGTGGTCGGAGGGGTTGGGGCTGGTGTGCAGCAGCAGGTCCCGCACCAGCTGCAGCTGTGCGCGCGCTCACCTTGACGAGGCTGAGGCGGATGGCGAGGCTGGTGTGGTCGGAGGGGTTGGGGCTGGTGTGCAGCAGCAGGTCCCGCACCAGCTGCAGCTGTGCGCGCGCTCACCTTGACGAGGCTGAGGCGGATGGCGAGGCTGGTGTGGTCGGAGGGGTTGGGGCTGGTGTGCAGCAGCAGGTCCCGCACCAGCTGCAGCTGTGCGCGCGCTCACCTTGACGAGGCTGAGGCGGATGGCGAGGCTGGTGTGGTCGGAGGGGTTGGGGCTGGTGTGCAGCAGCAGGTCCCGCACCAGCTGCAGCTGTGCGCGCGCGCCGCCCGCCCACGCGCTGCCGCCCTCACGCATCACCGCCGTCGCTTCGGTAGCACTGATCCTGCAGAGAACATGACGTTAGAGATGGAGACAAGAGGCCGAGATAGGAGACCGCAACTGTTACTTGACTAAAGGTGGCGGTTCGCGTCGCAACAGAGACAGGAGACCGCGGCGGCTACTTGACTTTAGGCAACGTTTAAGCGTTAGTTCGCAAGCGAGATAGAGATAGATCTTCAAGTCAAGTAACAGACACGGTTTCTTGTCTTGGTCTCTTGTCGCGGTCGCAACGTGAATCGCCGTCTTTAGGTATTATACCGTCTATCTCGGTCTCATTCGCGAACTGATGTTTATTCATTGGCTAAAGTTAAGTACTAGTCTCGAATCGCCCTTTACACGCGATAGGATAAGACACATGGACAATTCACAAGCGAATTTCAAGAACCTCCATCATATACACCTCCTCAGTGGGTGCACTGTGGGACTGCACAAAAAACGCTGCGGGTGATTACATGCAAGAATACTCGAAGCTTATTCGCAAATGGTTGATGTTCAATAACAATCGTTTTATGTAAATAATCTTATCAAGTTTTACAGGTAGTCTATTTGTATGTTTCAGTAATGACTGCGTATTTATTTATATTATTTATTTTATTTATGACGTGAAGTTCCCACAAGTGAGTAGTGTACCTGGTGTTGAGGTGGTGCAGCGCGGCGTGCGCGGCGTGCCAGCGCTCGTTGAGCGCGTCCAGCTGGTCCTGCACGTCGCGCGCCAGCGGCACGCCGCACGCGCCCCCTGCGCGCGTCGTGACGTCATACCTGGTGTTGAGGTGGTGCAGCGCGGCGTGCGCGGCGTGCCAGCGCTCGTTGAGCGCGTCCAGCTGGTCCTGCACGTCGCGCGCCAGCGGCACGCCGCACGCGCCCCCTGCGCGCGTCGTGACGTCATACCTGGTGTTGAGGTGGTGCAGCGCGGCGTGCGCGGCGTGCCAGCGCTCGTTGAGCGCGTCCAGCTGGTCCTGCACGTCGCGCGCCAGCGGCACGCCGCACGCGCCCCCTGCGCGCGTCGTGACGTCATACCTGGTGTTGAGGTGGTGCAGCGCGGCGTGCGCGGCGTGCCAGCGCTCGTTGAGCGCGTCCAGCTGGTCCTGCACGTCGCGCGCCAGCGGCACGCCGCACGCGCCCCCTGCGCGCGTCGTGACGTCATACCTGGTGTTGAGGTGGTGCAGCGCGGCGTGCGCGGCGTGCCAGCGCTCGTTGAGCGCGTCCAGCTGGTCCTGCACGTCGCGCGCCAGCGGCACGCCGCACGCGCCCCCTGCGCGCGTCGTGACGTCATACCTGGTGTTGAGGTGGTGCAGCGCGGCGTGCGCGGCGTGCCAGCGCTCGTTGAGCGCGTCCAGCTGGTCCTGCACGTCGCGCGCCAGCGGCACGCCGCACGCGCCCCCTGCGCGCGTCGTGACGTCATACCTGGTGTTGAGGTGGTGCAGCGCGGCGTGCGCGGCGTGCCAGCGCTCGTTGAGCGCGTCCAGCTGGTCCTGCACGTCGCGCGCCAGCGGCACGCCGCACGCGCCCCCTGCGCGCGTCGTGACGTCATACCTGGTGTTGAGGTGGTGCAGCGCGGCGTGCGCGGCGTGCCAGCGCTCGTTGAGCGCGTCCAGCTGGTCCTGCACGTCGCGCGCCAGCGGCACGCCGCACGCGCCCCCTGCGCGCGTCGTGACGTCATACCTGGTGTTGAGGTGGTGCAGCGCGGCGTGCGCGGCGTGCCAGCGCTCGTTGAGCGCGTCCAGCTGGTCCTGCACGTCGCGCGCCAGCGGCACGCCGCACGCGCCCCCTGCGCGCGTCGTGACGTCATACCTGGTGTTGAGGTGGTGCAGCGCGGCGTGCGCGGCGTGCCAGCGCTCGTTGAGCGCGTCCAGCTGGTCCTGCACGTCGCGCGCCAGCGGCACGCCGCACGCGCCCACCACCGCGCGCCCGCCTGCACGCGCCGCTTCTACTTGCACGCGTCGTGCTGTCATCTGCGGGCAATGCAAGCGCGTCATACCAGTACACAAGACACGAAACCACACTGGGTCTCGGGGGTTTGTTTTATACACATTACAATAGAACAAAAAGTATTTATCTGTTACATTTAGAAGTTACTCAGTGTACAAAAATAATATTGAAATTACACTTGTGCTCACACTGACTTGTGCAACATTTTATTTTATTTTTATTTTTTATTTTTCTTTAACATGTGCAGGCACTTTACATGTAACGGTCGCAGTGTTACACCAGTCTGTACCCGGCCTTAGACAAGGTTTAGACTAACAATAAAATTTGCAGAAATTGTCTTCCGCAAACTATCACCACTACGTAAATCTTGCAGAAGTTGGCTGGTCAATGCTATTTACACAGTGGTAAACAGCTTGAGAAAATCAACTTCTGCGAGTTTCATTGCTAGTCTAAACCTCGCTTTAGAGGTAAACTAGCGGCCGCCCGTGACTTCGTAGGCGTGGATCCCGTTATACCCCCTTCATCTATCTTACGCGGTTTAGCTTTTTTCATACAAATGTTTTTTCCCGCTATCTCCCGTTCCCGTGGGAATTTTGCAATATCCTATTGTAACTAAGCTTTAAGTTTACTAAGGTACCTGCATGCCAAATTTCAAGCGTCTAACTTAAACAGTTTAGATTTTTCATACAAAAAGATATTCCCGCTATTTCCCGTTCCCGTGGGAATTTCGAGAATTCCTTTCTTAGTGCACTTCTACGGTGCCTTAGCTACGTTCCTTCCAAATTTCAAGTGCCTACGTTTAGCCGTTTAGGCTGTGCGTTGGTCTGTCAGTCAGTCAGTTTCTCCATTTATTATTTAGATAATAAAATATGTCTCACCTGCTGGTCGAGGTCGCGCACCTTCTGCTTGAGGTCCTTGAAAGGTAAGCTGGGCGCGGCGGCGGCGGCCAGCGCGCGCTCGCAGCCGTCCAGCCACTCGCCGCATTGTTCTAGCGCCGCGTATAGACCAGCCCACACGCCTTGGCACTTTGACCATCTGCGAATTGCCTTGGCGTTACTAACTGCTACAATTATTGATCTTACTTCACATTGATAAGGTTCAAAGTCACCCAAAGGGCGATGGAGCGTGCTATGCTCGTAGTTTCCCTACGTGATTGAATCAGAAATGAGGAGAGCAGGAGAACCAAAGTGACCGACATATTATAGCCCGCAGAATTACTAAGATCAAGTGGCAATGGGCGGGGAACATAGCTCGCAGAACTGATAGACGCAGGGACAGAAAAGGTCTCGAGTGGCAACTACGGGTCGGAAGACATAGAGGGACGTAGGCCCCTAGGTGGACCGACGATCTGGTGAAGGTCGAGAGTGGCGTAGGACCAATCGTTGTGAAAATCCATGGGAGGAGACCTTTGTCCAGCAGTGGACGTCATTTGGCTGTAAAGAACAAATATAGCGAACGTCATATCTAAGTAAAAATAAGAAAGTAAGTGCTAGTTACTTTTCCCGGCGTTCTTCGAAGGCCTCATTGAGCTGTTTGAGCTCGTCGTTCATCTTGTCCCGAAGACGCGCGGCGCGGGCCTTGGTCTCGGGCCGCGCGCGCCGCTGCACCCACGAAAACTCTTTCTCGCACTCCTCGCAGCTGGATGTGGCTTCAGCCAGGGCTGCCTTGACTCGCTGCAATGAAAGAGGATAGTATAGAACACTTTACTGGTATAGCTCCGTTAAGCTATTCGCAAAGTTGGCCGAAGTTAATCGAAGAGATAGTGTGGGACGCACTTCAATTCACTTCGAGCAACGTCGCATCGCCTCGTCCGTCTTACGAAAATTGTCGTGGCGTATTTAAATAGTCAAAAGGCTCAAAGTGTTGCTAAGTTAAATAAGAAGGATCTTACTACAAAACTCGGCGTCAAGACATTGGACCTTAATAAATTTTTTTTCAACTTTTTTATAATGATTGAGAGTGCAAATCGCAATGGCAACCGCCATTTGAATACCATGTTGCCTATGCGTGGTCTCCAAGAGAGAGTTTCTCGCGAAGTTGCAGGAATGTGTGAATACACGCTTCGTAGTTCAGTTGACTTCCCCGAAGTTTTCGTCGAAGCGAGTAGCGTTGTGCGGAGGTATAAGTATACGTTTAGTATGTGGTGGTGGTCGATGTAACAACTCGGCTACAGCAGGACTCACGGCCAGCGCGTCCTCCTGCAGCGGGAAGTCGTCGTAGTCGCGCGCGCCCAGCGGCGGCGCCCGCAGCAGCGCGCGCGCGCCCGCCACGCACTCGCGCACGCGGTTCACGCGCGTCACCAGCTCCGCCGCGCGGATCTCCACGCCGTCCTGGGTAATTCAGATCAGATTCAGATCAGATTCAGATCATGTGGGAATAAGGAGTTTGGTTTAGTTTTTATTTTTAATTAAGTTTATAGTGAGATGTCAGATTTGGGAGATGACGTTAGCTGTCTGTGAAAAGATGTACGATTTTGTAAGACGATTTGAATAAAATGAAGAATGAATAAAACCATTATTTTCAATAACAATCTCACAATCCCACATACATGTATAATTCAGATCAGATTCAGATGAGATTCAGATCAGATTCAGATCAGATTCAGATCAGATTCAGATCAGATTCAGATCAGATTCAGATCAGAGGTGCGATTGTGTAAAGTTGTTCATGGATGGACAATGAATACAATTGATCATCGATCGTATATCTAAATTCGAATTGTGTAATTTTGTCCATTTCATGAAGACCGAAAAGTGACCGGTCGTATATAATCGTTTCATGGATTTGCGTTTTATTAATGAAAAACATTCGCTAAAACTCATTATTTTTTAACAAATAACAAATGAAATCCATGTTCAAATGCAGTTTTTTTTAATAAAATTTTATGATTGCACCTTAATAACATACTTTTATGCATAAAAACATTGAATTCGAATTAAAAATTTACCTCTGCAAATCATATAACCAAACGCATAGAACGAATGAAATACGAGTTCCACTACCCGCCCCCAGGTGGCATACATACTATAAGGCTAGGCAGGCTAAGTTGAATACTACTCTACAATAGGTGGCGTTAATGGACTACGAAAAACGACGTGAAATGATTATAATCTTTTTATTTATTTATACTTTAATGCCAAAATTTTAACCTAAGGCGAACTTAATCTCACATTTAATAAATTATACATAAATAAGTGTTTTGAGAAGTAGTATTTTAATCTATGTTCTGTGAATGACAAGTGTTATCTGTCAAGTGTCAAAAAACTTGAAAAACTTTTACGAAATTTAAAATAAAAACTTAGTTTGTAAAGAGACGAAGGCTGACCACAAAAGAAGTACTTATAGCTGTCTGTGTAAAGAATTTAAATAAAAAGATGTGTATATTTGAACAGTTTTCTTTATTTTATTAGTCATTTATTCCTGTAAATAAGCCCACACAGGGCACTTTTACATGTCCCAACATAACTTTACCCTACCACTTTGGCAGTATTGTGGGTTAAGGCTGATTAAAACGTGTTAAGTAGGTACCTACCTAACTACTTTATTGACTTAATTTTAAGTAATTAATTGCGTAGTAGTATAGTACAAAACTTAGTGTTGATGAAAAAGAACTCTTGTGTCTCACTAAAACTTATTTCCATTAACACCAAGCACTCACCGCTTACCACACTTTATCTTTCAAAGAAATAATTTAACAATTTGCATACGAGGACGAGGATAGAATTACACCTCCTATGAGAATTTATACGATTATCATGAGTTACGAGTCACCGCAATCATTTGACATTAGCAATGGGCTCATGAAACTTAGACAATTCGAATTTTCTGTCAAAATCATATTCATCATTCACTCATCGTATAAAATTACGATCAAATCGTTAACATATCGTTATCGTTTTATGAACTCCTTACACAATTAGAATTAGCCGTTTGACACATCATAACGTACGTTATGAACTGTCAAATGAATACGATTGCCTTAGACAATCGCACCACAGATTCAGATCAGATTCAGATCAAATTCAGATCTGATTCAGATCAGATTCAGATCAAATTCAGATCAGATCCAGATCATAAAAATCAAATCGACAATAATTTCAAAAGTACATCAAGGCCTAGCTCCTTACTAAGTCAGTGCCTGAGGTATGGGAGCGGCACGGGAAGGTATTTGGGACGTCAAACGTCAGCGTGACTTGTGCTTCAGATTTGTATGCTCTGTAACGTCATAAATATCACCCCTCCTGTGTCACTCCCATCCCATACTTCAAGCACTGACTGAGTTAATAAATAATAAATATACTTGGACATTTCACACTGCGCTTCTAGTCCCAAACTAAGCAAAGCTTGTACTATGGGTACTAGACAACGGATATAAACATACTTAAATACTTTTTTTTTTTAATAAATACTTATTATACATAGAAAACAGTTAAGAGTTAGACCTATACCGAGTCATGCGGTGACGCATTTCATCGGACATTTTCGATAAACTCACCGGTTTCTGGTTGCTGTCCCTGGCCTGCGCTTCGGTGATCTTGTTCCAGCTGGCGAGAGCCTCGGCCAGCGCGCGCTCGTCGAAGGCCACTCGTTGCGCGCGCAAATCCCGTGCTAGTGCCGCCGCGCGCTCCGCCGCCGCCTCTAACGCCGCCGCCTCGCTGTCGTCCGGCGGTCCGGCGGCGGCGGCGGCGCGCAGCTGCTCCGTCAGCCGCGCCAGCTCCTTGATGTCGTCCTCCGCCTTCATGGCGAGGTTGCGCTTCGTTTCTATCTCCGACATCACCACTGACCATTTGTTGCGGAGTTTGTCCTGTGAACAGAATTCAAATGTGCACCGACCGTGATCGATAACTTGTGATCTAAGAACGCTGAAGATACATTAGATACGTGTTACGTTACAGTGAAAA